ATCAGACAGGGTGGAGCGACTTTCACTTTCACATAGACGTGTGTCCTCTGTTTGTAATTGTGCTCTTCAAATCGTCTACACCACTCCATATACACATAAATGTATCAAAGACACATCCAGGACTATTCAAGCTGTCTTATTCACAATGGCAAATGTGGCAGCCATCTAACTTAGTTGCTTAGATCTCCCTTAAAGACAGGCTCTGCTGTGAGGACTGCAGTCAGTTGACACTGCAGTCTACAGGGGCCTGTCAGTACTGCCTTGAGAGAGCTGATTGTAAAAACTTCAGGATATTTTCAAACTGGTTGCTAAACATAGGCATTCTTAAAAATTGTTTTGCTAAATTATAATTAAATAAATTACATTCAAAACAAAGATAATTTCTCAAAACTCTTCACTTCCTCTTCTGTTACTACATTTTCTTATACCTATGCTCTCGAGACTATTACTCTATCTGTGTGGTGGAAAAACTGTGTAATGGTGTCCTATTGGGCATCTTTCCCCAAGTTCATGTTTAGTGATGTGACACTGGTAACTTGAAATTGGCCCTTGTAGTAGGGGGGACACCACGGAAAGCAGCCTGTGCTACAAGTTGGACTTTAAAACTTAAAGCAATAAGGAAAATGTTAGTAATGCAGAAAAAACTTGGTGTGTGGTATCTAAAGCTGTCACATTGTGAATAGCACAAAAATTTAAGGAAAATTTTTCCAGTGTTAGAAAAGTATTCTAGCAACGAAGTTGCTCACAACATTGGCAAACAAGTGAAATTCTAATGTACATGTTGGTTGTTTCACTTTCATTTTAGTCATTAATACAAACAAAAATATCAACAAGCATTCATCAATCAGTTGCAACCATAGGTTGGCTATAGATACAAGAGTTCAGCAAAAACCAGTGAAAATATTCTGGAAGAATCAATTGTGGGGGATTTACAGTAAAAAGTATGTATTATTTATAACTTGTAGGCTACAATTCTTTATACCACTGAAATATATAAGCATAATCACACACATACAGTTTCTCCCAGAGAGACTGTCATCAACCATTTACCAGCATACCACTGGCTAACAAACAGGCTGCAACCACAGCACCTCAGGGTTTTCCCAAGTATACCATCTGAGAACTTGCTTTTCAAAGGGAGTGCTAGCCAATGATGAGATTGCAGACTGGTAGTGTTTGGCCATGTCTGCTCTATGTGCAATCTTTGTGTTGGAGTTCTTTTTAACCGGTCTGAGACTTTTTCAGGCCTTCACTGTAGTTTCAGCCTCCTCCTACACAATTATTCTTTCCCTCTCTCTTATCTAAGGTGTCAGAATATATCTTGTCCTGAAAAAATTCCTATTCCTCTCCTTTTATCTTTCACAGAAACTTCCCCCAATAACTCTCTTTCACTTCTAACTCCTTCTTGGTGTCATCTTCCTCAAGGATCCAAACTGACAGCAAACAAATAGTAAATAAATGTAAACAACAGGTAAGTGAATAAACTTAAAGTGATACAGACAATGTTATCGGTGCAGACTGGGATTCCCTTGTGGCTCAGCGGTAAAGAATTCACCTCCAATGCAGGAGATGCAGGAGTTACAGGTTCAATCCCTGGGTGGGGAAGATCCCCTGGAGGAGGGTATGGCTACCCACTCCAGTATTCTTGCCTGGAGAATCCCATGGACAGAAGAGCCTGGTAGGCTACAGTCCATGGGGTTGCAAAGAGTTGGACACAACTGAAGTGACTGAGTACAGCACAATGGTGCTGATTAAATGTAAGAGTATATCTTGTCTCTGTTACATTATGAATAGCACAAAGTAAAGAGGAAAATTCTTCTAGTATTGGAAAACTATCATCTTAGCAAAGAATACTATTCAGCAATTAAAAAGGAACAGACCACCCCTATATACAGCATGGACGAATCCCTAAGAACCGGTATGTTGATCAAAGAAGTTAAGAGAAAAAAGACTATATGCAGTATGATTCCATTTACATGAAGTTCTAGAACAGTCAAGGAAATGTGAAATGGGGAACATACAGGGAAGGGGCACAAAGGATCTTTCTGGAATGACTGAAATGTTCTGTACCTTAATATGATTTAAGAGTGTACGCACTTGTCAAAAGGCATCCAACTACACATTTAAGATCTATTCATTGCACTGTATATATTTCAATACAAAGGTGAAAAAATAATTCTTCCTATGATGGCATAAGATTTGTCATTTTCTTCTTGTAGATCTGTCCATTTCTGCTCTATATATTTTGAGGCTATATTATTAGATATCTGCAAATTTATGTGTATATATAGCTGAATCACTTTGCTGTACATAAACTAACACAACATTGTAAATCAACTATTTTTCAATAAAAACAATTTAAAAGATAACAGCAAATTTAGAATATTGCTCATGAGTGGAAGCTTTTTTTGCTTTTCTACATACACATACAATATGTCCTCCACTCTTACTGCTTCTTTTCCACTCTATTCTAATGTTCTATTTTCAGTACTTCAGCATGGTGATTTGAGGTCGGGGTCAAATCACAAGAGGGTCACGTGCAGTCACAGAACTCGCTGCATGCAAACGCCTGGAAGTCCTTCTGTGGTCACTTGCGGCGTCCGTACCTCATGGACTTCCAACTCTAGCTTTGGCTAAGAATCCAGCCAGGATCTGTTCCAGTGGTCGAAGCAAATCCTCAGCCAAAACAAAGAGCATCCTGCAGAAGGTGAGGGAGTAGGGCGTTTACATTCCTGACGGGCGAACAAGAAATACTTGGCTCAGACCTCAGAGAAGGGGTCTTGATATTGCGCGCTGCATACCCTAACCTTGTGGTGGCGGCAGCAGGTTGTGGGGCCAGGAGTGGGAGGTGGCTGCGGCCTCAGCCTCAGGAAGTAGAGGTTTGGCTGACACTGCACCACGCCTGCTATTTTAAGGTTAGGCCTCATACAGGCGCGCGGTGTAGCGAGAAGGCGTCATTTGAAGCGCCCAAACGACGCTTGGAGATGAGGCTTGTCTGTGGCTACTGCTGGGCGTTCACGCCTTCCGATCCCCACCACTATAAAGCGGAGGAATCCAAGCAGCAAGTGTGTGGGTCACACACCTGCACTGTCAATCATTGGTGGGTGGAGCCTGGTCCACTCTAGGCTTTTATTGGTCAGAAGAGAGGGATAACTAGCACCTTCTCCAGATTGGTCGATTTCTGCTAGCTTTCAAGTCAGGGTAAAAAGTAACTCACTGCTTCCCATTCTCTGGCTCGCTGGAAAGCCATGTTAGGTCGCGGGATGCAAACGTTCCCATTGTCCCGAGACCGCAACACAATACCACCCCCGTTTTCCTCTGCCGCCGCCTCCAAACATATTATTTCAATGAATAAAAAGCCCCACCACTACCACCACAAGTCGTTTCATTAGTGTAATGTGAGAAGTCTGCGTTTAGCGGATGAAATGCGAAGAAGAGGGACCAGGGGCCCTATTCCGCCGACCAATCCTCTAAACCAGCAGACTCAATACTGACTTCCACTATCCAAGAGGCCCCGCGGCGGGCGCAGGTTTTAAGTGATTTTTGGCCCCTCGCGGCCCCTGTAGCGTCCCTAGTTACCGGGGTCCTAGTAACCACCACCCTAAGCAAAGAGCAATCCGGCGCCTGCGGCCACGCCGGCTTCCCCGCCCCGGGCCAGCGCGGGCGCTCAGGCCTCGGCGGCGCGGTGACGGCCGCTATGCACCGAGCGGCGAAGTTGGCGGCCAGCAGTCTCCAAACCCCGGTCAATCCCAACACCGGAGCGCGGGTCGCCCAGTACGAACGCAGAGACCCCTTGAATTCCCTGTCGGCGGCGGCGGCCATGGAGGAAGAGGAGGAAGAAGAAGAGAAAGAGGCGGCGGCACGGCTGGCGCGGGCGCCGGTAATGCAGGGGCGGGAAGTGGGGTGGGGCTGGGCGCCGGGTGCAATTGGAGGCTGATCTGCGACCCCCGCTGGTGAAGCGCGGGCTGGGAAATGCGCAGCCTCTCCTGACCTCCGTACAGGTGAGCCTGGCCCAGCGCGTCCTCTGGGCCCTCACGGAAAATACTCAAAACCGAGGCGTTGAAAAGTCTTTTAATTTTAACCAAAGAGATTTTTATAAAAATTTTTTGGAGGGCATTTACGTTACTCTATTTCTAGAGTGTGAAAAGTACAGAACTTTATTCCTTATGCTCCAGCAACTGTTGGGAGTAGATATTTGCTTTTCTTTTTTTTCTTTTTCTTTTCAACTTGAGGGAAACTGTGCTGTCCTACAGAGAATAATCCAAAAAATGCAAGTGAATCAGCTGTATTGTCAGGTGTGTTTTGTTGTCACTTCGATGTCTTGGTTATTAGTGCATCTTAATACAATACATGAGAGATGATGTTTAAAACCAGCAGGGGTTCAGTGGGTAGGTGGGAAACAGAGTTAAGCCTCCAGAGAAGCAAATTACTGAGGCTCCAGTGTTGCCACACGGCTCTTCAGAGTGGGGAGAAACAGCTTTTTCACGGATCAATTTTCAGTGTCAAGTGTTTTGTGAGCACCTGTCTACCAGGTAGGGGGCCAAGTCTACCATCTGTTCTGTTCACTTAAAAGATGAGAACTTTGAATTTTAACCAGCCATCTGCAGATATAAACCTTCTTAACCCCAGGTAAAGATTCTTTTGTTGTTTTTAATATTTATTTATTTGGCTGTGCTGAGACTCAGTTGCCCCCATGCGACCTTTGTGTGGATTCTTTAGTTGTGGCATGCGGAATCTACTTCCCTGACCAGGGACGGAACCCAAGGCTCTTGCGCTGGGAGTGCAGAATCTTAACCAGCAGAGAAGTCCCCCAAAATTCTTAATACTGTTTGCTCAAAGCATCTTAGATTCAAAACATGTGGTCTAGTGAAAGTCACTCAGTCGTGTCCGACTCTTTGTGACCCCCATGGACTACAGAGTCCATGGAATTCTCCAGGCCAGAATACTGGAGTGGGCAGCCTTTCCCTTCTCCACGGGATCTTGTGGTCTAGGGCTATTAGAAATCTCTGGATATTTTGGAATTCTAATCTCTTTAATCTGCACTAAAACTGTTAATGAGTAAATCTGTAGTAACACCTTTTATGGGCAGTATTTTACCAACAGATAAACTACTTGAGGTTATCCAGAGTAAAACAGATTGAGACCCTGAACTTGAACCAGAATCAGTGACCTACAGACCTACAGCCAAATTCATTCATGATGAAGCTTCAAATTTCAATAGCCAATGAAGGAGGTGGACTGATGTTGAAAAATGATTTGAATGAAGAGGATTTGGAGCCCTGGGTTAGGATCTGTTCATTTGCTAGTTAATATTAAGACGTAACTTCTTTCATTCTGTTTCCTTATCTATAAAAGAGCTTTAAAATAACTGTCTTTCTTGTCTCACTGGGCTATTATGAGAACCAAATGAGAGAATATGTCATAGCTAAAAGACAGTTTGTATAATAATAATAACAGCTGCCAGTGGGGCTGTTATTTGAACACCTATTCCAAAGAGAACAAGAGAACAAGAGATTAAGTTCTCTTCTGGCTTGCTGTAGTGGAAAAGTCAGTCATTTCTGTGGTTGCAGGTATACTTCCAGAGTACCCTATAAAATTGCAAATTTGTATTAGAAACATTACCTTAGGAGAGATCAGTATATCTAATGAGCTAGTTTCTAAGGGACAGTATCTCAGTAAAAAAAAAAAAAAAAAAAAAAGGAAGCTAAGTTTTGAGTGTAACTCTATTCTGAGACCGTGGTACTTGAAGGAACCAAAAGCAAATCTGGATCAGCTGCCACTGTAGTTGTGGTAAAGAACCACCTGCCTGCCAGTGCAAGAGATGTAAGAGACGTGGATTTGATCCGTGAGTCAGGAAGATCCCTTGAAGAAGGGAATGGAACCCATTCCAGTGTTCTCTCCAGGAAAATCCCATGGACAGAGGAGCCTGGGAGGCTACAGTCCATAGGGTCACAAAGAGTCTGACACGACTGAAGTGACTTAGCACGCGGCACGTAGTAGTAGACCTGATGGAGACACAAGTGTTGGCAGACAAAGCACTGGAAAGGCAAGAAAGAGAGTGCAGCCGCCAAGCTTTACCTTCCTCACAGTTTGGCTTGATCTCATCTTGATTTTTAAATGCTAGTTTCTCTCAACTTTGTCGTCTATTAAATGGAGTTAACTCAGCTTCCCATAGCCATCACACAAAATTGATTATGGAGAACTAACTGTCATAGTTCAGTTCAGTTAAGTTCAGTTGCTCAGTCATGTCCGACTCTTTCCAACCCCATGGACTACAGCACATCAGGCCTCCCTGTCCATCACCAACTCCCGTAGTCTACCCAAACTCATGTCCATTGAGTTGGTGATGCCATCCAAACATCCCATCCTCTGTCGTCCCCTTCTCCTCCCACCTTCAATCTTTCCCAGCATCAGGGCCTTTTCCAATGAGTCAGTTCTTTTCGCATCAGGTGGCCAAAGTATTGGAATTTCAACATCAATCCTTCCAATGAACACTCAGGACTGATCTCCTCTAGGATGGACTGGTTGGATCTCCTTGCAGTCCAAGGAACTTTCAAAAGTCTTCTCCAACACCACAGTTCAAAAGCATCAATTCTTTGGCACTCAGCTTTCTTTATAGTCCAATTCTCACATCCATACATGACTACTGGAAAAACCATAGCCTTGACTAGACAGATCTTTGTTGGCAAAGTAATGTCTCTGCTTTTTAATATGCTGTCTAGATTGGTCATAATATTCCTTCCAAGGAGTAAGCATATTTTAATTTCTTTTTTTTTCAACAGTAATTATGATATTTATTTAAAGTAATACATTTACAGCCCAAATAGTTCTACATTGTACATTTCAGGTTTAACCAGCTTCATAAAAATACTTGAGAACAGCTGTACCCACAGATTTAGACTACTATATTATTTCTTTGCCCATTCTTCTCTCTCTTTTCTTTCCCAAATAACCTCTTTCAGATACGGTTCAAGGTAGAATTTATCCTCCTCATGTTTTGTCCACTGCTCTTTAGGCAGGATCTGCTGCCTCATGCTGAGGTCCAGTGCTCTCTTAATATGAAACATTCTGTCGTTACAAAGGTTCTCAGGAAGCCTTCTTATGGCTTCTTTTACATCGTCATTCTCATATATTGTGTCATCTTGCATTAACCCAGTTTATTGAACCTGGCAGCGTTGTAATACCATTTTCAAATACCCTCCAGCCACCTGCTTGATGCAACAGCTGGCCAGCCTGCCATGTTGACCTGACACAGAAGCATTGCATCTTTTTTTTTTTTTTACTATTATTTGATCACAATTTATTTTAAAGTCATGAAAAGCCAGCAACAGTCAGGCTGGACAAATATTTGATCGTACCCATGTTTCCATGGGGGTGGGGACTCAGCACTGAGTTACACAATGAGATCAAACTTACTTCCTTTCCACCTTCCTGGCAACATTTGTGTTAGATAAGGCAAAGGATGGGCAGCTACTGAATCACTGGTGGTTTGAACCATGCAAGAACAACAAATAATAGAGTAATAGGTGTGCAATAAACATCTGATTGCTGAATCTTGGGCTGAAAAAGACGGAGAAAAATTATCACAGAAGGTAATAATGGTTGAAAGCCTTTTCAACTCATAATTTTTAAAAATCAATCCAAGCAATAAGCTTTTTAAAAAGTTCTTCCTGCCACCTTTACACAGGGCAGCACAGTCCAAAGGCAATTTTTCTTTTCTGTTCTCTTTTCTGTAATTTCTTAGGTCAGTAACACAGAGTGGTCTGCTTCTGCCCTCTCTTGTTCCACATGAGGGGAAACACATAAAACCACCTAAACAAAGCTCTGGGTTATAGAAATGATCAACAAATAACATTTATTTCACACCTAAGCATAAATAGCTAAAATGAAGATTACTGTTCACTTTCCTCTTCCATGATTTCCACTCTGCCAGGCCCATAGAGGAGGACATAAGCTATGTGCCAGTCGCCACCGCCAGAGAGTCGTAGGATGTCCTCTGGTGTCATGATGCTGACCTTATCGTCATCGAACTTGATCCACTCATCTTGTTTCCTTTTCACCCATGATACATAATGGCCTGAAGAGCTAGACCTTCCCTGATGTGTTAGCACTGCTTGTAAATCATAGTATCCGCAATTATTGGAGCCAATGTCATCAGCAAAAGAAAAGGGTTCATACTTCTTTTTGAGGACTACTGTTTTTGTCACCTGTCTTTGGCTGCTGATTTACTTTTTTATCCTCTAGATCCTTGAATTTTGATCGAAAAGAAACCATTTTCTCTTGAAGTTCTGGTGTATATAGTTCATACACATCCAACGTAAGAGGAAATTTCACATCCTTAAGAACTTTAACATTCACAGATTCCTTCTCTTTGTAAAAAACTCGAACCATCTGAATAGTTAAGTAAGCAGGTAACCGGCTGATCTTGGACGATTTGATGTACAAAGCATTTCTTTGCAATGTTGGAGACTGTTTGGTGATTTCTTCCTGAAGTCGCAGCTTAAGTCCTGTAAAAAGATACTTGACTTCTTGATTGATGAAACAGCTAAGCTGAAGCTGACTTTCCTTTCCGTTAGTGACTTCTTCTTCTTCAGATTCTGTACATTTCATGGTTGTCTCAAATTCAACTCCAAAGAACTGATCAATTAAACTTTTCTTTTTAGAAGGTGTCACTGCTGATGCAGATGAAGAATCTGTCTCTTTAACAGTATCATCTTCTATAGCTTCCAATTTCTGCTGTAATATTCGCATCATTTGTACCCAACACTCATTAGCATCCTGCTGAAGATACTGTTCTTGTTCGCCCTTCTCTGCAAACTGCGGAAAAGCCATGTGCAAAAACTGCAGTAAAATAATCGGTGGAATACTAGCAGAAGTTTTATCCATGGAATCAAATAAATCTCTAAGGGCTGCAGTAATATACTGTGCTGACGCCATTTCTCCTGAAGCTCTCAAGGCGCCTGCATACCTTTTAAGGGCATCTTTGAGTTCAGGCACAGAACGAATACACTGAACTGTAGCATTCATGTAACAAGTATTACCAAGCTTTGTCAATCCACGTGGTAATTCCATAGCAGATGCTAACTGTTCTTCTGTCATGTCTTCTACAAAGACAGTTTTAGCTGAGGGTTCCTCAGGAAGAGCATCTGCTGACCCCATCATTAGTACAGTCATTCCAGTTTTCATTTTGATGTCCCCCAATCATCGTCCTTCAGTGTTCCTCCTTTCACCATAACTTTCTGTCTGGCCGGCTGGACTCCAGTCAGTGCAAAAAGCTGAGCCTTGAACACCATTGGAGGTTCATCAGTATTCAGTTCTACGCCTTCAAATTTCTCCTTTCCCCATTTCACAGTAACGGAGTAGAGCGGCATGGCGGGGCGCGGGGGCGCGGCGGCACGGGAAGGCCGGGCCTGGCAAGGACGACGAAGGGAAGGGGCCGCGAAGGGGCTGCGGTGGCGGCCGAGGCGGAGGCGCGGCGGTGGCGGTGGTGGTTGCCGCATTGCATCTTTTAATTTCTTGACTGCAGTCACCATCTGCAGTGATTTTGGAGCCCAAAAATAAAGTCTGCCACTGTTTCCCCACCTACTGTCATAGCAGGCCCCTTTAAATCCTTTGACTTGCCAAAGCCACTCCCCCAAACCCCATGGCTCCATATACACCCCTTGCAGGACTCTGTGCCCAGGTAAGGGCATTAAGGCATATTCCTTGAATCTAGCCTCAGTTGGAGATATCAGTTCACAAGTCTTGCTTTGTGGTTGATGATGATATGGGTAAAGCAATATTCTATAATTCACAGTTAAAATTTCATGGATTTTCCTAATGGGATGGCCTTCTCTTTTTCAGCAAATTTTGAGCATTTATTAAGTGCCAGTAATGGACTATTCAGAAGTGAGTGCTAGCAGGCATAGTTCATGTTATCACAGTGCTTCCAGTCTGATGGGGAAGTTGGACAATAAAAAATGAGCAGTCAAATGATTATAAGTCAGGAAATGTTGGGAAGGAGGTGAGCAGGCTACTATAATTAAAAATGCAATAGGCGGGGACCTACTTCAATGAGTTAACATTTAAGCTAATGCCTGATAGATGAGAAGGAGCAACCATTTTTTAAGATGGGGGTGGGGGTGCGAAAAGCATTCCAGGCAGAGGGAACAGCATATGCAGAGGCCCAAAGATAGAAAGAGAAAGAGTTTTGTGTGATTAAGAATCTGAAAGAAAGCCAACAGCACTGGAAAAGGGAGAGGGGAGAGGGCAGAAGATGAGGTCAGAGAGGAAAGGAGGTCCTTATAGACCAAGGTAAGGGGTTTAGTGTTTACTGCCGGTGTAGTGAGAAGTCTTTGAAGACTTTTAAGAGATCTAGCATGTTTCTGTTTACAGTTTTTAAAGATGATTCTGGTGGCTTTGTAGAGAATGATTGGAGGGTTTGACAAAGAAAGGAGATTGGGTAGGAGGCTGTTGCAGTGATTAAGGGGCCAGAGGCAATGGCTTGGACCTAGAGTCGAGGCAAGAAGTGGACACAGATTGCATAGGACTTATGTGAGGCCAAGGAAGAAGTCAAGAGTGCTCATTCCCAGATTGCTGATTTGACCAGCTGCATGGAAGATAAAGCCATTTACTGAACTGGGAGTAACTTGGAGAGGAGTAGATTCAGAGGCCGGGTGGGAATCAAGGTTTCAGTTTTGAACAGGTAAATTTGAGATATCTGTGAAAGTAGCAAGTGGAAAGATGTAGGAAGCAGTTGGGCCTGTGAAACTGTAGAAATGTGGGTGTGGGTTGGACATTTCTGTCTGGGAGTTTCCAGCATTTTTGAAACAATGAAGTCATGTAGAGGCAGAGTGCAGAGAAGGAAGAGACGGGGCCTAGTGTAGAGCTCTTAAAGCCCTCAACAAGTCAGGTCCAGAAAATGGAGCGAAAGAGGTCAAGATCAGCTCCCCTGGCAGAATTGTTGCTGAAGCGCGGAAGTTTCCAATTCGTTGGTTTCAGTGATGAGGGAACGGGTCAGATGCTGCTAAGAGAAGGGACACTTCATCTCTGAAGCAGGAGGGAAGGCAAAAAGGAGCACAAAAGTGAGCAGTTTTGTAGGTGGAAAGATGAGGGAACTTCCCTGTGATGGTTTCTTTTTTCCTGAAGAAGTAAAGGAATTATCATTTGCAGTTGGGAGGTGGGGGTGGGAGCAGATGAACAAGGAACAGATAGGCAGGATCATGGGGGCAGTGTTGAGAGCCACTTCCGGGAGCACAGGAGGTGCCAGGCTGACCAAGTAGCCATTAGAAATTGTTCAGTTTTTTTTCTTTTTTTCATTTCTTCACAAGTATATTGTGTCTTTGTCTAAAAGGTATAAAAGCTTTCTAATCTGGTCACTTCTTTTTTTTTTTAAATTAATTAATTTATTTTTATTAGTTGGAGGCTAATTACTTCACAATATTGTAGTGGTTTTTGTCATACATTGACATGAATCAGCCATGGATATACATGTATTCCCCATCCCGATCCCCCCTCCCAGAAATTGTTCAGTTTTTAATTTAGTATTACTGTTCACAAAACATTTTCTTTTTGTTGTTGTTACATTTTAATTATAGAAGTAATACATGAACACATTCTCCTTTTAAAATTTCAAATGTTATAAATAAGGCTAAGGCCCTTTACTAGTTCTCCCTGCAAAAAGAGTCTGGCTCCCCCCTCCCTCCCCATTAATAGCCACTGGGTTTTATTTTGTTTTGTTTTTAAAGTATTTGTTTTATTTGGCTGCACCTGGTCTTGGTTGCAGCATGCAGGATCTTTAGCTGCAGCATGTGGGATCTAGTTCCTTGAACCAGGGATTGAACCCAGGCCCTGTGCATCGGGAGCCCACTGGACCACCAGGGAAGTCCTAGTAGTCACTGTTTTGAATCAGATATATACTCTAGGCCTTTTCCTATCTCCTATGTACATAATATTTTAATACATGGTAGCATTTGATAGATATATATTGTCCTGCCACTTGCTTTTTTCCTCTTATCATTTACATGTAGATCTGCTTCATTCCTTACAAATCTCTTTAATGCAAAAAAAATTTTTCAATAAAAATTCCAGAATTGTAGATGGTAACTTTAACACAGAGAATGACGAATGCTGATTACTAATGAAGCAACATGTGTTGGAAGGAGTCATCATCTAAATGGGTCAAGCCAATCTAGGGAAGATTATCCTCTAATCTCATGGCTGTGTGTACAACATTCCACAGAAAGCTCAACAGTTAAAGGGAAAGGATGCAATCTTAGGCTCTTGGAAACTAATGTCCTTGGCCTAGGTTATCTGAACTACTGTTTGCTTCTATGTGAAGAAGACAATGAAAGATGAAATTAGAGTTGGAAGTCGATTATTAACCATTTATCTGTTTTGGGTAAAACACTGTGAGATCAGTTTATCTGAAAAGTTCAGTTCAGTGTTCCCAGCATTAAGCTGAAGTGCAGTGACTACTGTGCAGTCAGTGCTTAAGTATGATCGTCAGGCCTGTTGCGTCTCTTTAGAAGTTATACATCCTTCTGTATTGTTTTCAAACATCTTTTCCAGGTCCAAATAAATTTCATCCTTTTTGTGAAAATGATTGTTATAAGACCTTCTTTTAAGGAATGGTCTAAAAGAATGAATGGTGAGTCTGTGGATGCTTTTGCCTAAAAAATGATTCTTTGGAATATCCACCCGATTTTAATGATAGCTTTTGGAAGATAAGGCCTTTCCTTAATACTCAGTAGAATATAGCTCTTTAGAGCAGCCAGTATTTCTTTGATTCAGTCTTTTGTGAGGAAATACCTGTCCATTCCCCTTGGGAGGACTTAATATTGTTTTAGCTGGACATTGGTTTATCTAGTAAACCCTGATTGAGGGTCTTTCAATGACCATACACTCTTCTAGGCACTGGGGACACAACAAAGCAAATACTTGCTTTCATGATGCTTACTTTTTGGTAGGGACAGGCATGTAATACACAACTACATCAGCAAATATGAGTAGAATGTCAGTTGGGGGTGAGTACTTATGAGACAAATAAAGCAGAAAAAAAGGGTGAGAGTGAGTCAGAGGAGAGGTTGTCATTTCAATAACCGGTAGTCAATGAAGACCTTGTGGAGAGGATGACATTTTGAGTAAAGCTCTGAGGGAGTGAGCAGGTGGGCCGTGCAGATATCTGGAGGCAGAGAATACAAGGGGGAGGGAACAGGAAGCCCTCGAGGTGATTCTGCTGATTCTGTGAGCACTAGAGAACCTGCAGACTGGAATCAGCCCCTGCTGCTAGAGTGAGCTGCTGCTGCCCAGAGGAAGAACACTGCTGGGGTGATGTTGTGTTGTTGTGCTTAGTTGCTCAGTTGTGTCCAACTCTTTGTGACCCCATAAACTGTAGTCTGCCAAGCTCCTCTGTCCATGGGGATTCTCCAGGCAAGAATACTGGAGTGGGTCGCCATGCGCTCCTCCAGAGGATCTTCCCAACCCAGGGATTGAAACCAGGTCTCCCTAATTACAGGCGGATTCTTTACTCCCTGAGCCACCAGAGAAGCTGGGGTGATACAAGCAGACAGATGGATGGAGAACGAACAGGAAGAAATAGTCCCTTCTTCCTCCTCCAGCCTTGCAGTCTCCCTCTAGCCCCACTTTTGGCAGAATCTAGTGGGAAGCCTCTGGCAAAGCAGAAATGTGCTTTGCAGAGTTCGATCCCCAGCATCACATACATAGCAGGGTAGAGAAGGGTGGCTTTGGTGCTGTGAGAAAATAGTTTAACAACTGGCTCACATACTTTATGTTTCTTAAAGCTGAAGTTCCAAAGTTCTTAGCCTCACCACATGACTAAGAAGTGCAGAACCTAGGCTTGAATGAGAATTCTGACACCATGTCTGTACTCTTTTCCCCCAAGCCACATGAACATTCCAAACTGCAAAGTGTCCGACCCTTTCAGCTTTGAAGGGTTTTTAGGGGGCTGAAACCAGGTGACCAGGGAGGGGTCGGGAGCCAGCTATATACAGAAACAGAAACTGCCTCAATTGCCCTAACCTCCCTTTCCAGGCTTTCTGCCTTAAATTGCTTTGTGCATTTTTACTTTCCTTACAGCCTGCAGCTGTGTGCTTTCCACCGTGTTCACCCATCCACCCACAACCCCATCTCCACTGCTTTTACTGTCATTTCCTCTTTCTAGAGTACCTTTTCCCTCTTTCCCCGTATACTTTCTCTGATCCTCCAGTTTTCCCATTCTTTGGCTCAGCTCAAATATCACCTCCTCCAGGAAGTCTTTCGGTATCTTCCAAACTCACACAAAACCAAAGCTCCCTTCCTTTAAATACGGTATCACTTTGTTGCTGAATCCAAGTTCGTTTGCCCAGTGCACAGTGAAGCCAGACAAACTGACACATTAGAGCTTGGAGCAGAGAAAGGTTTAT